CGTGACACGACCATCCGACGAGGTTTTCCGGGCGCCATCTTTCCCTGTTCTGTCGTGTGGCTGGGTGGACGCGTCTCGAGGTGAGAGCCGATTTTATGTTTTTTTAATGTCATTCTAAAAAAATAAGTTGGAAGAAAATGTGTGTTTTGGGCATTTAGATGTGCACGAATTTGACAGATCTCCGTAGCGTTGGTGAGGGTAGGTTCTAAGGCTGCGTGAGTGAAAATGGATTTCTCCAGCTGTCCGCTGTTTTTGAGCACGAGGATGTTTTTTCCAAGATGGCGGCGAGGTACATGTTGTATCAGAGCCGGGTGAGGTATGTTGTACCATGTATGTATGTATGTATGTATGTATGTATGTATGTATGGGTATGTTGCTTTTGATCGCGAAAGCTAAGCCCTGGCTCGCGTTTGTAGGTAGCTAGTCAATATTCGTTCCATTTCGGCACAATGTGTTGGCTTCTTTGCTCTTAACGGGCCACTTTTGCGTCTAGTCTGTTGATTTTTCGTTCGTTTCGATGTTTCGTTCGGAATGACCTAAGTTTGGTATAATAAAGGTGAAGCCTTTGAGCATATACATTGTATTAACCCCATTTAATGTTGTTGTTATGTTCAAAACCAGTAGCAAGCAAGCTCCCTGAAACGTGAAATAGTGATACAAATTACCCCACCATGTGATACAACTCACCCAAGCCATGGGGCAAGTTGTATCAAAAACATTGTTCTATTCGGCAGACCGTAGAAGAAAAACTGGTAGAGGTAGCGGAAAAGTTACTTTGCACAAAAAAAGCCGAAGAATCAAGGAAGGAGATAGTATGGAAATAATGAGTTTACCACGGATAGTTACGAGGTTATGGGTCTCGGAGTAAAAACTGATACAACCCACCCCACTCTCCCCTAGTCCAATTAGACCATTACTTTTTTCATTTTAGATTGCTCTTTATCACGGGCATTAATCGTTGCAATTGTTCGTCATTTGGCCATGCATAAACGCTGCTTTATGTTTTCGGATGAGATGGAAAGTAAAGCACCTCAAAATGAAATATTAGAAATACGAAACTGTGAAATTATCATAATGAATGCAATAAACACTTCTGCCCCGTATTCAACGAAATATGCATTTTAGTACCTGCGTGCCATTCAATGCGTACAAAAAAAGAAAAATCAGGCAAATGATATGAGCTGATTACGACTGTGATGTCAGATACCAGAGCCATACCCATTACCAAGTAATCTTGCCCATTACCCACCATTGCTGGTAATAGCCGGTACCGGCACATTTTACTAGGAGCCGGAGCCAGAGTCAGTCAGAGTTACCGACGCATTTTACTGGACACCAAAACCTGATTTCGTAACCGGAGCCATAGACGGAAATAGAACCTTTCATTTTTGCGGCTCCTCATACCTAATCGTAATTGTTGGTTCACGTTGTCAATATTTTTTTTTTCTGAGGGTCGAAGGTTCTTTTCCTTATCAATGACACCTAATTGTAACGCGCATTTTAGGCCATATGGCGTAATCCAAGAGCAAATGCAGTGAAAATTTGTGATTAAAAAGTAGTTTTTAAAGAGGGCAAAATAGTCCACTTAAAGATAATGCTGAAATACAGCATAACAAAGCATGAAATGACAACTTTTTAAATTCATTCTTAACCAAATCACTGACAAGGAATTTTTTCGCTTCATTTAGACGTAATCGAACTAACGTTAGTTGTTTATATCATACCCTTGATGAGTCGAAAACAGATACTATTTACAATATCGCGCTTTTATTACGAAAGCATTCGCTAGATCTTTAAGATCTTAAACACACTTTTCTATCTCACAAGCTATTGTAAGATAGGAAAGCCGTCTAGTCCGTCGTATTTGTCTGCGGAGGTCTTTGAGACATTCACACAAAAAAACTTATAGTGGTTCCATCTACCAAGTATTCATTATCGGGGAAGTAATTTAAGTGCGTAAGTGTAAAAAGTAATCACCCAATTGCTATAATGAATGATTGCTTCTATTTCCAAAGATATTTTTCATTCTAACTGGAACAAGAAGCTAAGCAAAAGAAAAGGAACGGCAAAGAAGACGCACTATTTTCGGAAAACCAGAAAATTGTATTTTACTATTTTGTTTTATGTCAGCGAAACACTCTTTTCTGATTGCCTGCCCTACTTTCAAATAAAAAGATGAAGCAGCAGAAGATCTTTACAGTTTTAATTGTGAATACGCATTTTCATAATTTGCAACTGAAAATTTAAACAGCAAGCAGCTAGGCATTTATTTCATATTTGCATAGGGTTTTCTGCATTACCATTTGGGCTCAATCCTATGTAATTTTCGTTATCTCCTTTTGCTGAACACATTTGCCAGTTGAATTTTACAAGCTGGCCTGGCGAAATCTCGACAAGCTTTTGATCCACCCTCCTTTCTATCTGGCTCGCAATATAGGCGCTCTTAATCCCTGCAGTTATTCCTATAACGTCTGGGCGGCGCGCGGCCGGCGTCATTTTCGCAGTGTAATTGACTGCGCGCCACAGCACCGACACCACGGCCTCTCGCGTCGTCAAATTTGACAATCGCTCCGTCTCCTCACGAAGTCGCTGTCGCGTTTTTAGTGCAGCCACTACTTCATTATAAAATTCCAGCCGCCGAAAACACTCCTTCTTTTTGGTCGTCGCCTCGCTGTGAGCCATTAATTTTTCAATAACTCTTGAGCAAGGAGCCATGTTTATCCGGCACATGGCCGTCCGGTGACGGAGTGCGCCACCATCGCCGCCGATTACCACAATAGCCGCGCAATAAAGCGCGCGCCGGCCGCGTGCCGCGCCTCCCGATAGTGCCATCACTATCTCCCCGGCCATAACCTGCTCTATTGTGTCTATTGTTATCACATTTCAAATTAATTTCCCGCACCGGTATGAAGACCCAAAGTAACGACGGAATGGCGCGACGCGCCGAGGAATTCATATTGGATTTTTGGCGCCAACTGTCGTGAACGGCGCGCCACAGAGCGATGAACGGAAACACCGACCGACACCGCGGCATTCGGGCGGAGATCGAGCAAAAACGCGCGCCGGCTGGCACGTAGCTGCATCGTGTGGGCCGCAATACATAGGGCTCTGCGAGCACCCCGAGGAATAGATGGACAACACCGAGGATAATATCGCCGAAAGTGCTTATGTGATAACCGAATGTCGCGTGACTCGATATGACTGATTTGATAACTGACTAGTCGGTAACTGATAAGTCGTTGAAAAAAGAAGGTCCAGCTATTTTCAAGGATATTTTCAATAGGCAAAAGAATACCACAAGAAGGACTATGAAGAACTTCGGAGTCGGAAAAAGCAATTTATCATAGGGTCAGCTCAAGCTGTAACCGAAGCTAACAGGCACCGTCTCTTTACCATTCGTTTGTTGCCATATTATTTATCGAATGTTATTGATGTTAATAACGCACAAGTGCTCCATTCCATCCACGAGTGCTTTAATCCCACAGTCAGACAGCTATGCATATATCTGGCCGAGCAGGGAGTTTTCCGATGGATGTACTGTGGCCCGGTCCACTCTAACCGCAAGTGTATTGCGGTGCAGTCTATCTACCTGCGATTGTATTGCGGTGCACAGTCGCCAGTCTGTCTAACTGCGGGTGCATTGCGGCACAGCATATACCCACCGCCGCTCTGGGTATATCCGAATTGTGGTATTTACACGGTACCTGTCAGGAGGTGCGTTCTGGCACGGCCTCAACAGCTTACAACCGTGTTTAATCGATAATTGGTTCATACCATGGTTTGATTTTTTACGACCACCGTTTTTCTCTCTGCAATGATTCCTTCTCTTCCAGCATCGCCGACTCGTTCTTTCATTTTTCATCGTTTGTGTGAGACCCCTGTCACCCCAATGCCATCGGTATCTGGCACGTCCTCCCTTTTTCTGGCACGTCGCGTCAGTATCGCCGCCACAGCGCCATTATGGCCACTCTGGCGCCGCACGGGTGCAAAACGGCGCGCCTCCAGCGCATTCAGAGCGCGCCCTTCCAATCAATTTGAAGCACATTTGCTACAGCGGCTATTAATTGACTGCCAGCTCCAGCCGCGGCGCGGTGATACCGAGTAGCGCCGCGTTGGCCGCCGATCGACGACTGTGGCGCAGTGGCGCGGATGGCTCCATTGTGGCGCAGGCAGCCGGGGGCGGGCCGCCGCGCTGCCGCGGAGTGGGAAACTGGTCTGATAGCTAGATGAAAATGAGCTAATGAAGCGCGATAAGTGTTTCAGAGGAAGTTGATAAAGGAACTGCCTGTTTATAACAGATCGGACGCTGTTGGTTAGTTTCATGGCTTCTGGCTCCAGCCTCCAGATGGTAGCAAGGTAATGGGATGGAACATAATGTGGCCTGTTTTGAATAGCGGTTGGTAAACGATGCAATATAAAGTTGTATCTTGCATTTAGAATGCGGCGTTGAAGCAATTTTATCGCACCAGGCTTTCATTCTTATGATCGTTGTCCCTTCGTAATTACCGACTGTTTTACAATTTACGGGGCTTAACTGGTGCCACCGTTTTATCCGGCAACCGGGAATGAGATTCATTAAACCTTTTCTGATGACCTACCATCTTGTCGGCTCAACAAAATCTCGGTGACCAAACTCCGGTGTCCAGTGTCCTTCCTTTGCCATATGTGCTTTCCTAATTAGCGCATGACGTTGTCCTGAATTTGCCGAAAAGGATTTTTTGCAGAATGACTAGCACCTAATCAATATGTAATCATACCATTCCAACGCAGGAGACCATTCCAAGGCTGTAGTTTGCCGAAAGAAACAACTTTTTGTCACAAATGATACCACATGCCGCGCAGCCATGATGGCTGTTTCTCCAAAGCCACATCCAAAGACTCGTGCATTCAAAGACTCACCGTTTACTGCGGCAGGTGCTGCGCCCTGGCGTCCCACCCTCAAGTACTGACCTCGGTATCACACCGACGACTGACCCGTGCTGCCGCCTGGCGTGTTGCAGGTCTGCCAGCGGCAAAGAAGGCCCGCTCCGAGACCGTCGGACGGGACAGAGACCATGACAGAGACCATGACAGAGACCACGACAGAGACCACGAAAGAGACCACGAAAGAGACCACGATAGAGACCAGGAGCGGGACCAGGACCGGGACCAGGGACGGCCGTACCAGCCGGATGGCGGCGCGGCCACCAGTTTGGACCTTAGGTCACCGGTGACCCTGTCACTGACCCAGCCGCCGCCGAGAGCCACCAGCTCAGACGACGAGGTCAGTGCGCGCTTGGGGATATCGTTTGATAGAGTTAAGTTGTTTGGTGGGGGATTGAGTTGTGGGGTCAGTGGGTTCTGTGGGGGTCTGGCATTTGTCCCAATGTATAACCTATTCGCCTCGAGTACTCGTGTGTACGACGTCCAAACATCAAGCATGTTTTAGCTAGCATTCAATTATAATCGCTGGCTGACCATCTCCGTCAATCCAGGTCTCAGAGAGATCCACATCTCCGCGGGCGATCCAGCCCAGCTACGACTCGGACCGATCTCTGGATCTCATGTCCAGACTCTTCCCGTCAATATCCAGAGTGGAGCTGCTACAGGCACTCAAAGCACACGGAGGTGAGTTGTCGTGACTCGTGGACGATTTGGCCTTGCATCATCTTTGAACCATTATTTTATTTACCATAGCTATCAGAGACTGCTTATAGCACGGAAATTTATGCGTATGGTAGATCTGCCTGCATCTTACACTTATAAGCTACTGTTCCACTTCCGTTTGCCTTTTCGTTGCCCGCTCTGACTCACGCATTCGTTTCTGCTACTCTCTGACCCTCTCTACCCCTCCCGCTGCCAGGTAACACTCTGGACGCCATCGACAGTCTGCTACGGCCGCGGCCGGCCTCTGACCTGCGTGACGAGCCTCCTCCGCCGCCGGCGCCGGTGCCGCCCTCTGCCTTCTCCCCTCTGCAGCTGCCCCCGGCCATGATGAGTTTCCCGAGCCTGCGCTACCCGTACTCGCGCCCGCCGTACTTCCCCGTACCGTGGGGCGGCAGTGACCTGTTCCCGCCATACCCCGGCTACGGCCTGAGCACACCGGCCGGTCTGCCGTCCTCCACGGGGGTCGGCGAGGAGCGGCTCGAGCCCGGCCGCTCGCCGCCCCCGCCCCCGCACAAGTGACGGTGAGGTCAGGTCGGTGGGAGGTGATGCAAGTGTGATTGGTGGTCTGGGGAGTGTGACTGTGAGTGTGATATGTGGTACTGCTAATTATGTCATACATATGTCCAAAAGATAGTAATTATGTATTATGAGGCGTGAGAGAATGTCAGATCGTAAGAGTTAAGCGGCATTCATGATGACAATGATAGTCATGAATGCAACTTTGTGCTTCTTTTTGCTTCTGTAAATACTTTTCAAGGGCTAATAAAAGCTGCAATTCTTGTCTCGAGAATGCTGCGTTAGGTAAGTAATGCCTCTACTATGTTCTGTTCGACGTACGTGTACCCTCCCCTTTCAAATGGATAAATATAGTCGTGTGTACTGTACAGTGTAGTTTTATCCGCGGTAGTGCCCGCCACTAGTTTCGCCTGTACTTAGAATATCCCCTAACCAGTATAGCGCCTTTTGGGGCGACTAACGGAGCGAGCGAGGGGGTGAGTCTTGCACGTGCGAAATTTCGAGGGGGTACCTCCAACTGACTTGTGCACGGCACCCTACTGACCGGTTTCTAGCGATGTGCCAAATTTGAGCACAATCGGCCCAGCCGTTCTCGAGATCTGGGAGCGGCACCCTGCACGTGCGTACGTGCAAAATGGGTCCCAACTGACTTGTGCACGGCACCCTACTAACTGGTCCCTAACCGTGTACCAAATTTGAGCGCCATCGGTCCAGCCGTTCTCGAGATCTGGAAACGCCCCCTGCACGTGCGCACGTGCAGCAGCACCCCAACTCTGGCACAAGGATATGCAGTGCCTAGTGGGTGCCTACCTACATGCCAACTTTCAGCGCAATCGGCCAAGTAGTTACCGAGATATTGCAACAATTACAAAACTGACACCTCTTCGTTTTGCACGTGGCACGTGCATAAGGGGTCACCGGCATGCATCGGAAATAGTCCAATACTTGGTAGAAGGAATGAAGCTACCCTACAAAAATTACCGCGTGTAAATCGGTCAAGTGGTTGCTGAGATATACATAAGCCTCGCAAAAGCGTCCGCACGGCCGGCCGGCCGCTCATACTCAGAAATTTCCGTTAATCTAAAGAAAGACTCCGCTCGCTTCGCTCGCTCCGTAATCATATTTAACGAAATTCATGGTTCTCATCCTGTTAATCTATTGTGGAGTATGTCACCTACGAAATACATGGGTGTTCAAGACGTTAGTTTTCGACGAGATTCCAGTACAAATAATATCATACATGATACAACTCACCTTACGTTTATTCATCAAAAACATTTCCCGGGAATAGTAATGCAGCATCAACACAGCCATGCATCCATCGTCGGCCGAACCTCAGCTCCGCAGCGCTCCATCTCTCCCTTCCATTTCCCGTCTCCCGGGGACCTTCTATCCCGTGCGTACCACAGTAGCTAGATATCACCCTCCCCATGGTCGAGCCGCGGGTCAATTATCGGCTGAGACGCCCCGCCGCGCCGCCAGCACCGTGGGAGTTTACTGGGACAGCACTGGGGCGCACTATGACAGTTTTGATCTGGCCCGTGTCTCTGAATGGTAACCGGTCCGGTCTGGGCTCCCCGCGCGCTCCTCACGCTCCATTGGGCGCGCTGAATGTGGACAGGGAGACGCGGACGTCGACCGCAGCACGGCCCGTGAGATATGGGGCGATTGTTGGACGGGGTCGCGGAGACGGATGGGGTGAATGTCGGGAGGAGGGAAACGGTTCAGTGTGTGGCCACTTGCGGTTGGTGGCGCTGGAGCTCTACTCTGTTATACGATGCATGTTGTGGAACCATCATAGTCGACGCCTGGACGTTTACAATGCTGTTTGCGAAGATAGCCACGGCTAATGAGGAGGTAGCTTACGTCGTGATTGAATCAGCCGACTGGTGTTAGCATCGTGTTTCCAATCTCTATTGTAACCTGCCTCGTTTCATGCCTCGCTGCACAATGCACATATTGCCAGTTGTGGGATGTTATGTACAGACGATGGTCGAGACAAAGCGGGCATATTTAACCGTGAAGAGATAGATGATTTCGATAAATAAAAGCACTAAGTGTAAGTACTAAGTGCACCAACAATGCAATGGTAACTGCTACTGGACCGGTGTATCGAAACGGGAGCTCAGGCTGGTTGACTCACATATAGACGGTATAGTAGAGCCACGCAAAAGTGACTCTTTTGGCACTGTGCGTTGCGCGTCTCAGATACCAATCGTCTGAGTAAGCTACCAGACCGAGCCGGACTCAACCAGCACGCTCTGGAACCTGTGCCCCCGCTGCCGCCCGCCCGTTCAACGGACCACCTGTTTCTGTTTGGCTGAGCTGTGGCTGGTGCTGACGTACCGCGCCGCGCAGATGCCTCGCTCTGACGCACCGGACAAAAACCATCACCTCGGCTCCCGGTGGGGTGTGCTCGCGGCGCGGGTACCCTCCTGGCCTCCCGCCAGCCGGCCAGCCTCGGCCAAGGCACGCGGCCTATCTCAGCTATCGAGGCAGAGGTGTGAAGCCGACGCCAGCGGCTCCTCGCAGGCCGCAGTCGCCCTAGGTCCGGGCTGATCGATCAGACGCAGTGCAGTGTTTATTCAATTCGATTGGTTTGTAGGTGTACGACAAAAGAACAGTGTGGTTGGTATGGAGGAGGACGGCCAGGCTTCGAGAAGTCAGCAAGAGGAGCCCGGACTGTTGCGGCGTGCTAAAGCAAGATTCTGCAATGCGAGGGTGGTGCGAATCGTCGTCGTAATCAAATTCATCATCGCCTTGGTGACCTGCGTCATCGTCTTCTCCCAGGTCATCGACAACACGGAGTACCTCATCAGCCACTACTGCATGCTCAACTACTTCGAGAAGAAGTTCCTCGGTCAGGAGGACGTCATCCAGCTCTCCGCCGACTCTGACATCACGCTCTGCCACTCGTCAATCGCTCTCAACTTCACTCTGGAGGACACGCGTGTTCCGGTGAACACCAGCGCCGGTCTTCTGTCGGCGCTGTGCCTGCTGACCTGTCTGGCCGCGCCGGTGACGCTGCGGGGCCTGCAGCGGCGCCGGCCGGCCCTCGTGCTCGCCTGGTTCGTGGTCACGGTGACGCGCGCGGTGGTGGTTACGGTAGCTGCTGCCGTGTTCGTGTCGCGCGGCTGGAGTCGGTTCACGGCGCTCACCAGACACCCGGTGGCGCTGTTCATGACGCACCTCGGCTGCGCGCTGTTGGACGTGCTGACCGACCTGCCGGCGCTGATGCTGTACCGCGATATGACGGAGACGACGTCGGATCAACAGGAGAAAGGAGAGGAGGTGGAGCGGGAAAAGAAAGAAATGAACGAGATTAAGGACACCACTATAGGAGAGTGTGAGGTCGTGAACAGTGGAAGCAGTAGTTCTGGTGAGAATGTTACAGAAAATGACCGTGACAGAGGTGCTGAATCCGGAAAAACTATAACATCACAGGAAACACAAACGCTCCCGGAAGAGGAAAAATGCGCAAAGACGGGTGAACGAAAGAGCGCCGCTTTAGAGAAGCAAGAACGTGCAAAAGACAACACGACGAAGGAATTCGGAGATGTGGAAAAATTGTTGATGAAAAGAGGCGCACCAGATATCGAGGACACGACCTCACATAGCGATGAAACTTCAGTATCCAGAACAAATAAAGACGATCATATAGAAAAGAAGCAGGGTATAACAGCGTGCAGAGGCGATGTGACTTCGAGAGACAAAACTCTTGAGCAAGCTAAAACAGCCGAGAATATGAAAAGTCTGGCAAATGAAGAATGTAAGCGTAGCAAAGGGTACGGCGGTACCGTTCTGGTTTTCCATGAGGCGTAAATTAAGCTCAGCTTTTTACAGCTATTTACGTCTTTTTAAGGCAAACTTGTAACAGGCGGTTGCCTTTCAAGCAGCAACAGCTTTCACGTCCGCACTTAATATGATTCTTAATGATTAATGCAGAAATAAACTTCTATCTACCTATGATCAATGAGCGTTCAATGTTTGCTTAAATTTGGTGCATTCATGTATGTAAGCTTTTGTAAAGTGGTTGTTTTCCGAAGATCCTTAGGGAGCTGCTGTTCACTGGGAGCTGCGACCATTTCAGGACCATGGGGGAAGAATATTGAAGGGAGACATTGGGCAAACGTGACCACTGAATCGTGCGCAACAGCGATTGAGCGCGTTGGTTCGGACGGGAGTGCCCTAGTGGTGCAGCCCACCAAACCGCTCAAACGATCCGATCCCAGAAAGACCATATCGTGGCTGGCAATGTAGAGCTACAATGGAACTTGGCAGCTCCCCGGCTGCCTGGGCCGGAGGATCAGAGTTTCGGAACAGGGAGGCGTCAACGTGATCAAGGATAAATATGGAATTGTCCTAAGGATCGAAAGGACGGATGTGCGGTGCGTCATTAAGTGGGATGCAGGTAAATACATAATCTTCCCGGACAAACTGCGCTGCGATCCAGACGTCAGACAGAGGCGGTTGTGGGCTGTTCATGTTGTTTCTAGGTGGTGGGTCGGACGGAGGGCCGTCGAAATTTGATTTGCGGGGCTGGTTATATTGGATCCGGCCGCTGACTTATGTACTAGTGAGTTATTTAACCCTCGCATGTGTGCGGCGTTTGCCAGCTTCTAATGCGTAGGGGGGGGGGTCGGTTGGACCCCCCCCCCTTGCCGTTTTGCCCCTGATCGAGCTAGAGCTTCGCGGAAAAAACGAGCGTGTTGCCCGTGACGAGAGGAAGCCGATGATACCCAATTTTAAGGTCCTTGGTCATTGGTTGACCTTCCAGGTCAGGTCAATGACCCAACCCAGCCAGCATTTATGCTGGGCACCGACTGGGCCCCAGTCGGGCATACGCCGGGCGGCGACTGGGCATCCCGACTGGGCCCAAGGTGGCGTCTGCACCAAGAAAACGCCGGGCCTCGACAGGGGCCCGACTGGGCAAACGACTGGGCTTGGACCGGTTACCGACTGGGCAGCCCCGTCAACCACTCCGCCACGGCGATAGCGAGTCGGGCCCCCGCTGGGTTCAAACTGGGCAGGCGCGTCTGCCGCGCAGACGATGCGGACCCTACTGGGCACCGACTGGGTACAGACCGGGCGCACGCGTCTCCCGGCTGGGCCCCTGCTGGGTACAGACTGGGCTGACATGTTTCCGCAGGTTGGCGACATTTAAAATTAGCGATAATTATCGCTAATTTTAATTATTTTTATTAATATAATAATTAATATAATATAATTATTTTAATTAATTATAATATAATAATTAATTATTTTAAAATAATTAACATTACGCCATCATAACCGTCGTCGTTCCGGTCGCTTGCGTAAACACTGGCAGCCTTTTTATGCATCATTTATTATACATCAGCTGCGGCTCCACACTGATCTACACTCTACAGGACAGCGTAGTCCAGCACCTCTCCTTCCGCGTGCTCTTCCTGGATGATCTGCGGCTGGGGAAAGTCGGGAAAATGGGGACCTGTTAGAAAGTCGTAAAGTGTGGCTGCTAAAGGGTTTTTCGGGGTGCTGATCACGAATATCGTGTTAGTTTTGATCACAGATGATGTCTTTAAGCATTTAGACCTGGTCGGGTCAGGTCAGGTCAGGTCAACCAGTAGGCGTCGTGACGGGTATTCGTAGTACGTGTCAACCGCCTCTGACAGCTTCGTAACATGTTACGAAGTCACCAAAACTACTTCGTAAATGTTCAAATGGTTGCTAAATTCGAATTCAGCTCTAAAAACTAGCCTAGAAACATGTAAAACTCGAAAAAGTGAACAGAGGTCATACGAGGTCACCAAAGGTCAATGACCTGACCTGACCTTCAGGTGACCTTGAAACCCACCCTAATGTATGGAAGCAACATCAAATCACATGTTTGAACGTTTGAAACTACGAAAAGCTTGCGCGGCTAATGCGAGCCGACATACGCGAAATCGCGATTCTGGCCAAACATGGTCTCTGAAAAGAGGTCACAGGTCAAAGGTCATTTGGGTCAGGGTCATGAAATACTCAGGGTAGGTGTAAAATGGATTAATGCGAGGGTACTGAAAGTTTCGTCGCGATCGGCCGCTTTTTACGCGAGTTATTCGCGAAAAACCATGGAGGGGTCCATCCGACCCCTTCCCCTACACATGCGAGGGTTAATCTCCATTATCCCACGCCCTACTGGGGGTCTTGGATTTCCACCCCCTGCTGGGGGGGGGGGAGTGTTTGAACACCCCCTCTAACTCGGCTCCTGGGCCACGTAGCGATACGCGGAAGGCGGTGTTCAAAAGAGCGCCAAAAATAATGACGAAATCATTTCAGTCGCTTTTTTGGTCAGGTCAAAGGTCAGGTCACAAGAGGTCATTGAAGGCAAAATTTCGCCGATGTTCAGGTCGAATGTCGACAATTTCCAAGAAGCCAACGCATAACTCGGGAACCAATAGAGCTACAGCGCCGCGGAAAACGCGCATTCGACAGCCCTATTAACGCCCTTTCTGAATAATTCCCTCATATTTGACCTAATATCAACGGTTTTGTCTGCAGGGGGCAAAAACTGCCAAAATAGCCGATTAAAAAAAACAGTTTTTCTGCAATAAGTTTTGAACCAAGCCTTGCACGAGGTTACTTTTACCGGCATCGTGTTCCTCTCGTCAAGACTCTTCGAATGAACTATAACTTGACCTTGAAAGGTCAACTTGAAAATTTGACCTCAGTTCAGGGTCATGACCTGACAATGGTTATGCTGCACATCAGTCGATCCGAATCGTCGAGCTGAACACACCTGAGGCATTTTCATCGCTCTAGCATGCCTCTATCAAAAGTAATTTGCGAAACACTGTTAGATGCCATTCGTGACCTGAGATGACCTCAGGGGCATAAACAGGGGTCACGGACATCATTTTCATGTTCAGTGTGTCTAAGTTACTTGTAATCCAGTGTTTGGGAGTGTTTATAATGGCTTCCGTCCAAAAGCGGCGCATTTCAGTTTTCTCCCATTGACTTATAATGGGGAGGTCGCAAAATTGACCGGACCTTAGGTTATCGATATCAAAATTCTGAGATGTACCTACATTTTGTATATGCGCTCCGCGCCGCCGTTTTCAAGATATTCGCGAAAAAAAAACACAGGGGGTATTCAAACACCCTCCCCCCAGCAGTGCGCGGGTTATGGTGTGCGCTCCCCCAGTCTGAAAGTAGTTCCCGCGCCCCTGCATCTAGGCATCTAAGAGGCAAGAGCCGCCCCCTCCGCTCCGCTCCAACGGCCACTGTATTTGCCCCTAGATGGCAATAGTCTCGAACGCCTGAAACTATGCTGTTCCGCATTGCTTGTGTTAGTGTACAGTCCTGCCAATAGATGTCACTAGCAGTCGAGAAAGCATTCTGCTTAGTGTTAGTGCCGATATTTGGGGATATCTCCGTAAAAATAAGTCCCAGATCAGAAATATTGGTGACTCACGGGAGATGCAGTAAAAATATAACGTTGTGTGACGTCATAAAAATAGACCAAATGTTCCCCATTTTTAGCATTTTTTGTCTTAATTTTGGGATAAAATCATCATCGCTCGCACACAAAATTAAAACAAGTAAAATTCGTGGACAAATACTTTTGATTACTAGAAAAATCGTGAAAAATTACATTCAAGTACACCAATCAACACGTAAAATATCTATGACGCAATAAGATTTAAATCCTCCTTATACTCGAAGTTACAAGGCCTTACGTCTGCTATTACGGGACGGGAATTTCTTCTTGAGATAATCTGAGATCTCATGGGGCTCTGATTTTGTTTTGGGTGTGGCTGGAGATGGCGGCTACTCGGAGGCTTCAAAAGGTAATATTCGAAAAACACTGAAATGCTCGTACTGATTGGAATTACTTGTCTCTTATTGTACGCCCTAATTTACTTATATTTCATCTATGAATGATATGTCTCATGCTCGTCATTATACGTCGATTGGAATTACTTCCTTCTTATTGTACCTCCTGGCTTACTTATATTTCGTGTATCAATGATATTGATGTCTCATCCTTGTCATTGTACATCAGATTATTTTAGTTGCCCACAGTCAGATTGCAGAACCATTATTTTGCATTTTATCTCTTGTATTAAGCTTAATATTGGTGTTTTACGCAAGTAGCAAATCAAGGTCATAAATACCAGGTGGTATCTCAAGAAATTACATGCAAGCCAGCTGAGGTCATGATGTGAAGATTAGCAGGAATTGAAAAAATATCAATTTATCAGTAGGTATTACACATATTTTTTTATTCTAGTGATATGGAACCATGCAAAAATAATATCAAAGCAATATGTTAAGAGGTTTCCCCAGAAAATGTGCGCCATTCACATTATGATGTCATTGTCACCAAACCTGAACACGCTACAGGCTTGTTAGTGACTAATGACTATGGCATGTATGAAACTACACTTTCATCTTATCAAAATGTCATTTTTGTCCTGTGTGCTTTGTTGCGGACCATGTGATTGTTTTCCCACATATTATATGTTGTTAGGATGGTGCTCACTCTAAAAATTTCACTTCATGCAATTGAAAAACCTAATTAACAATAAGAGCAGCATATTGGGATTAAAATACAAATTACTTGCATGCATGAATCAACTGTCATCACTTTGCATAGCTTCATGTGACTCATGATTAGAAATCTGATTCTTTTTTATTTCTCATTATTCCTATAGTTTTTTATTTTTACACCCATATGTAAAACCTAACCACCCAACCAGGTGAGTTTACCAGGTAAATATGTGAAAAATGACAAAACAAGCTAGGTAATTCTGAATTTGCTAGTGTCAGATGAACCTGTGACATTATCTGACTTGCCATATGTACCATTTCAGGAGCTGCAGGATATTCAGAAGTCTGGCATCAGATCATTCAGAGATATCCATGTGGATGAAAGCAATATTCTCATATGGCAAGGACTCATTGTGCCTGTAAGTGGGATTTCACTAGTATTCTAGGAATATTTGAGAATACCCTGCCTTTCTTTTATTCCCATATTTATGGTACCTGTGATAAATTCTTTTAGAAGAATAACTTCAAGCCTTTCATTCCTTCTTGCTATATTTTTCTTGTTATCTAGTTATTATAGTTCTGCTATAGTTCAGCTAATTTTTAAACAAAGGTTGAATGCTGCTTAGCCCCCGCTCTGGTGGGTGTCTGTGCTGACTTCGCCATGGTGTGTGCATATTCGGCCACACCTGATAATCTCGAAAACTAATAAAGCTGTAAAGTCATGTAAAAAGCTAGAGATAACTCAATATGAGATTGTTTAGAATCACACAGATGTCTTTTATCAGGTCGTTATTGAGGTCACTGGAGGCCTCCAAAGGTTATATTATCACAGTTTTCCTGATTTTGACAAAGGTTTGTTGGAATTCTTTAAGCTGTGTTACAGTCGTTAAAGTTTCCCTATATTCCTAAGGATAGGATTGTTAACCTTTTTGCTTGATATGTCCTCTCCTGCCCTTTTCTATCGATTGCTGATGGGTTTTAAAACCAATGTATTCTGGTGACAGGAGAGTCCGCCATACAACAAGGGTGCCTTCCGGATAGAGATAAACTTTCCGGCCGAGTACCCGTTCAAGCCTCCCAAAGTGGTGTTCAAAACCAAGATCTACCACCCGAACATCGACGAGCGGGGCCAGGTCTGTCTACCTATCATCTCCGCCGAAAACTGGAAACCGGCCACCAAGACTGATCAAGGTAGGTCGCCGGGGCTCAGATCGCTAACTGGCGAAACGTCTCCGTGATTTACCACCATATACAGTTACATTACGTCACTGGCGTGAAGTGATGTACCTTTTTGTAGAGCTTTATTTTGGGAGAACACCCCTGACTGTGGACAAGCTCGGCCAAAAGTCGAGCATAGTAGGGGTGACCAGTCTAGACTAGTGTGCTGGGCTTCTATGGATGTCGGCGCGGTGCACCTTCACTTTCTCGACTAGACTGTTTCACAGACCATCGCCTAGGCCCCCGGTTTCCACAGTCGGCTTGGCACTGGCACCTAGACTAGCGCTAATTGCTAGGTCATACCGATAACCGCGATGCCCATTCTATCATCAGCGCGGCAGACCCTTATCGATATCGGCACATGAATAGCTTGCCGTGCCGCACAGCCGCCGGGGACGAATCAATATTAATGGCGGCTGCAGCGGTGTTTGGGACGGACGGTGTTCACGGGTCCAGGAACCAACGCCGTTCCATGAATAAACGACATTCCGCGAACTAACGGCGTTCAGAGAACGGGCAACGTTCCCGGAATGAGTGCCGCTCGAGGCTAAAGCATCTGTGTCGAATCTGAGATTGTCTGGCTCCGAAGGGGAGGAAAACGGACAGAGAGCGGACTGCATTTTCTCATCTCATCAATGTCTCCGCAAGTGACTTTGGCCGTCAGTGTGTAATGCCACTCTGATGTTCAACGAGCTGCCACTAGACCGAGGAGAGATTAGAGAGGGTTAAGTGTTTGGACTTGAGATTGCCTGGGAAAACAACTGATAGCGACGCTTAAAGCGATCTTCGTCGCATCGGTCCCGTACCCCACACAGCTAGATAACAACTGTTTCCGGCGATAGGAGCATGTGTCTCTTTACGCTAGTGTGCTCGACTTTGTTCGTGCTTTCAACGTTTAACTTACTGTTGCTTACTGATCACTACCTTGTTCATATTTTACATAGACCGGCATTCACATAGTCACATGCGCCAGTGCCGTGCGTTTATCTGTCGTGGATACTATAATGAGAATACTGCCGCCTGTTTCGAATCACCGATCGAACTCGCATGACACCAGAGGCAGCCGTTACGTTCCGGCGGTATTGCAGTGGGTGCCGCGCTGCCTGGCGACACGGTCCAGAGCGATCGATCGACTGCCCACTGTGCCCCCCATGATAACCGAGCGTTGAAATATGGCAGAGCACACACACACAGCATCGCCACATAACTCTTCAAATGTCACAGCGCACACAGTCCGGCGTGAGATACATTTCTGCACCGTGTGCTTGCTTAGCAGTGTCGCAAAAACCAAAACAAACGTAGGGGGCGGTGTGTCATGTCATGTCTGGACGGAAGCTCCACATGCGATAGATAATTCATCTGTCGCCTTGCGTCCCCCCCCCGCAGTTGCCGACTACCATCCGTTTGGCTGTCGGCCGAGTGTCGGGTGCCCTCCGTGCGTGCTGCGGGCGCCCCGGGGGCGCCATGGGCGCTCGGTAGCGCCCCTGGTGCCGAACCGGCCAATGGAATGTTAATGACGGATCGATAGACCTCTAGTGTGCCCGCCTGGGTCACTGGGTGTCTGCCGGTGGTGGGAGACGGGTGTACTGATGCATAATCTAACGTAAAGGATTGATAAGTGACGTAATTGGCTGATATGTGACGTGATGGACTGATGTAATGTGACGGGTTAATGTGTGACGTGTCGTTTTGTGACTTGTTGTGACGGGGAGACATATTGCTTTATGATCTCAGTCGCTCCGTGATGGGCTTACAAGTCATGAAAGGCTGCCTCACAACGAGTCGAGTCATAAAGCTAGATTTTGTGGTATTCATGTGGTCCTGTCTTAGGATACCCCGTTCAGCGTTTTCTTCGTGTTTCTATTCATTTTCATGATGCGTCATAGACTACTATATATTGCATGATGAATTCAGAGCGCTGAATGCATCACTGACCTCAACGATATGACATTTTAGGTGATTGTTCGTTACCTAGTCAGCTCACCCCAGCATGTTTCCTTCTGTTGTTCCCCCAGTCTTTACCGTGCACTCCATGGCCGTGAGGAGGCTGTTGCGTGTATGAGCGCCGTTACGGCCGGCAGCCGGCTGTTGTGTGCAAGGCGCGGTGTTCCGGCCGCGGCGGTCGATGAACAGGTTTGCCCCCCCCCTCTAACCCCGTGCTGACCGGTGCGTCCCCCGGCAGTGATCCAGGCCCTGGTGGCACTAGTCAATGATCCGGAGCCCGAGCACGCGCTACGGGCCGACCTGGCCGAGGAGTACAGCAAGGACAAGAAAAAGTTCATGAAGAGTGCCGAGGACTTCACCAAGAAAAACTCAGAGAAGCGACCTGCTGATTGAGCCACTGCCGGACCAGAGACGTCACCGCGCGCCGCGCATGGTGCGGCAATGGGGCCGCAGTGTCGGCCGGCCGCGCGCCATCTCTTCACCTAGTGTTGTTTGAACAATCAGCCGCTCGTGCTGCCCGCTCGCCGCCTCCGTCTCCGCCGCCGCGGTACTGTGTGATAGTCGGCGATACCGCCCTCGAACCGCCGACGGCCACTGTTCTGTTTGTTGTTTTACGTTCCGGTGAGTGCGCAGGTGTGTGGACTTTGATAGCGACGCTCCCCGTGGTGGGCGGCCGGCTCTCGTTTAACGATTGGAAGGAGTGAGACGCGTGTGCTCGCATATATATCACACAATCATCGGATAATACACAGAATACGTCACTGACTGACTGACAATGGCCCACGCTTAGTGAGTGACAGGTTAGCGCGGTACATGCAAAACGAAACAGCAACGGCGGTACACGGCGGCGCGGCGCGGCGCTCGTCACAAACACGACCTGCGTACAAAAGCTCTAGGGAACACGGCCTAACTCGCATACTGGCGCACGGCGTTCAGAGTCGTGTGTAACGTCACAGTCTAGTCTCGTCAATATCACACAGCACTACATGCTGTTTGAAGTCACCGTGACTGTTGGAGCTATGCACGACAGTCTTGTCACCTACAAACCTCAGTAGCGAGCTGTCATCTATCGACCGCGGCGGGTACGAGAACTTTTCGTCGTCGTCGGTAGATGTCTCTGACGCCGCCCAGTGCGGCACCCGCTCCGGTGATGCCCTCACACTGCCGTCGGCCGGCCGGCTGACAATGAGTCCGTCCTGGACGATCCACCTCGGCGAGGCGCCGTACCCGACGTCGCTGATGATGTCGTCCTGGTCGTGTTTTCGGCTCCGCTCGGCCTGCTGGATGGTGTCTGGCAACGCCCGCCGACCGGTCTCGGGCAGTAGCAGGCCCAGAAAGCCACAGAGGAGAGCCAGACAGCCGAACACCAGGAACGGCATCCAGCTGTAGGAGATGTCGGCCTGCCGCCAAGTGCATCCGTCAATGTACCGCCTACTTCGGCTGGCTTTATGCAACTTGTCCCGTTAAGTTTGCATTTATATCTCTGACGCTTCGGGCAACACCAAAGCGGCCTATTCTACTGTGCTTTGGACTCTACGTAAAATGACATCGAATGTAGAACTGAATGAGCGTCACCTATTTTGAACCGATTTCGTTCCGTCCCTGGCACATTGCAGGCCATTCCCTCGCATGGATAACTCGGGTAACACCTCACAAGTAAATCAAACTGGCATCTTACTACCTCAGCCTTTTCCTCATGGTACCTGGTCGCATTCACTGTCGCTGGGAGTTTGCGAACTCACCAGTCGCAGCACCTGAGGCGCCACCAGGCTGCCGGCGCGGGCCCAGCAGACGCAGGCGCCCATGGCCAGCGAGCGAATCACGGTCGGGAACGCCTCTGATGTCACCAGGAAGACGGCACAGAAACAGCTGACGACGGCGGCCTTACCGAGCAGCGCCAGACTGGTCACCAGCGTCGGCACGGAGATCAGCTCCGCTGGGGAAAGGGCAATGAGGTTTAAGTCATGGGGTCCCTGGAGAGGAGCATATAGCTAGCCTATAGCGAAGGTCGTCTAAATGGATTTCGGCGGAACAAAGAACTGTTCGCAATCATAGACGACATAGCCCCAAAGAACAGCATAAACCTGAATGATCAGCTCATCTGGAAGGGTTCGTACTCCATGCGTTTAATAAGTTCACTGTTATTATCGTGTCTCTCCTCCTACCCTCTGTATCACTTGCTCTAAAGCACCATCCTCTGTCCCCGCTCCCATTCGCAACCCTTCACTCACTGTGCAGCAGTTTTTCTGTGGCCACTGTGCCGATGAGCAGTGCCCCGCTGAGAAACAGGTAGCTGACCAGGCAGGCCCGCCGGCCCACCGCCCGCAGGCTCACGTAGGTCAGCAGGAACGCCACCAGCTCCAGCGCGCCGCCCAGCATAAAGTTGAAGAAGCGGTTGCCGCTGAGGTCGGCGATGTTGAGGGAGATGCCGTAGTAGGCTAGTGAGATGGTGAACCTGCAGCAACGATGGAGACGTGAGATCACGGGGGAGAAAGCTCAGGTATGGCTGTTTACTGACGTTTTGGTTGTTGTCTCCATTCGGCGGCTCTTTCTTCATGCATAGGTGTCGTGCGGCACAGCATGCAGCAGGCGTTGGTCACTAGTGCCATCTAGCGAGAAGTATGCGTATGCGAATTGGGCTTCGTGGCGCTAAATAGGTACCACTGTGTTTTCGAATCCTTGGAAGCAATTTCTACTGCAACAGACAATCACAATACAATCAGTGATGGATATTTGACATTGGCCAGAGGGATTTGAAATGAAATCATATCATTTCAATCACAACCGCTTGTCCACCCCACCACTCACCACGCAATGAAGAGCACGAACGAGTTTCGTCTGATGGCGGGCGTTCGGAACAGGTCGGTAATATCAACACCTTTGGCTGAGTGAGCTCCGACCGAGCTGCAGAGCTTCTCCAGCTGCAGGAGCAGCTCGGGGCTGAGCCGGAGGCCGTTGTAGTAGGCGATCCGCTCTGCCACGGCCCGCGCCCGCCGCGACCGGCCGCGCGAGATGAGCCAGCGTAGTGACTCGGGGATCAGCCTGATAATGGAGAGGGTGTAAAGGTTCAAAGTTCTCAGATAAATAAGGCGAACGGCTGGTGCGGGGATGTGAATGGGCAGCGAGTGCGCCTTCTGATTCTACGAGAACCTGGTCGGTGACTGCAATGTAATGAATGACATCAAGCTCAACCAAACAAATACGAAAATCATTGATGTTCGTTTGCATCGGAGATCTTATCGAGCGTTATTCCGCTCGTATATTCGGTGGCAGGGCCACAAACAACAACAAACAAACAAAGTCGGCTAACCCACCAGATGTAGAGCAGGGTGACCAGCGTCGGGATGCTGATGGCCAGCTGGACGTGCCGCCAGTGCTGGACGAAGTAGCAGCAGACCGCGAGCAGGATCAGCCCGATGGCCCAGAACACCTCGGCTGCCACTCCGGCCAGCGTGCGGTGGTGCGGCGGGAACAGCTCCATCACCATTGAGTATGTGGTGGTCTGCAGACCCTGCGGCGGAGAGCGGACGGTCAGAGGTCACGGCACGGGTCAGCGGTTATTGGCTACGTAACTGATTGGTGGTCAAGGTCGTGTGAAGAGTGTGCGACTCTGAAAAAAACTACCTGAAACATAGCCAAACATTACTGAAACGAGCAAAACAGAGGACTTTTGTAATACCCATTTGGTCCTTTGAACTCATTCGTTTGTATCGTGCCTAGGAAGGTCTCGAGGCGTGTCACGTCATAGGATTTAAGATGCAACATCTTAACTCATTTGTCTCAACGTCAAATGGGCAAGTTGGGCTCCTATCGCTCATGTGAGCAATTCAGCAGCACCGAACCTCTGCTCCGCTCTCCTTCCCGTCTGGCGTCTTCCCAGCGCACCTGCGCCGATCATTAAAGGTAGTGTGCCACCTTTGAAAGATTTCCCATTTTATTTTTCCTAGGATAAGAAGCTTCTGTTTTTACCTAATATCGCAAAAAAAAATCAAAAATGGGCCTGGAATAGTGCCTTTTTCGCCTAAAAGTTTTTCGGTTTTTAGATATGTATAACAACTGTAGTGGGCTCACCTGCAAACAGGCGTCGGGCAACAATCGCGAATGCGGCGCACTTGTGACAATAAGCAAAGGTCATTATAGTGTTACGACCACTGAACTCTATAATGTGGAATGCGCATCGGCCGCCAGATGGTGTCCAACGGTGCCGCCATGTTGCGCAGACCAGAAAGCGGCCGCCGCCTGTGTTGGGGAATAGGAAATTCGGGACTTCGATTTACGTTTGCGGCCGCTGCATCCGTTACGTTCAAGATATGTAGACACGGAACCCGGCATCCTACGCAGAATTGAGTGGAGAACAAGATGACATCTGAAAAAAATCCTCGACTACAGGAAACTTATACGTTAAACCCTTATAAGTCAATGGGGAAATATGGAAATTGCTATTTTGGCGCCGGGAATGATCTGAAACTATCTCAAGCATATAGAATCGTGATTTCATGCACTCCTTGCAAGGTCCAATGCCTCACATTTGCATTGTTGCCCTTGCGTGACGTCATCTGTGACGTCACAAGGGTCATAGCCTTTTCTTCAATAACTCCCGATCAAATTGAGCTAGCGAGTCGGGAAAGCCACCAATGGACTCAGGAAGACCTGCCCAATCGAATGATATGCGACATGACCTCTTTCGACCAACTTCGTGACCTGGGGGTGCTGACCTGACCTTGACCTGACGTCAACACCCTAAGTTGACCTGACCCGAACAAAAAGTATATCACTCGATGCGCCTGAGCTAGCGGAACACGATGATGCCAAAATCGCGGCTCTACGGCTATTTTTGGCGAAGTTATTTACCAAAAACCGAACCCATGCCTTTGATCACTTGACCTGACCTCAGAGGTCACCGGTTGACCTGAGACCCTTACAGCGGGTTCCTACCAGTCACTCTGCATTTTACTTTGCCGCATACGACCACTTTACCGCTTAATTCTAGTTTAATTAGCGGCGCATTAGCGAGGTGGGTTGAATCAACCCCCTCGGCCGGGGCAAATGTAGGTCCGGCGAGTGAATTTGAGGAATTCTGAAGATACGATCGTGTTCCCCACTCAATTCTGCGTAAGATGCCGGTTTTCGTATCTACGTAACTTGAACGTAACGGATATGGCGGCCGCAAACGTAAATCAAGGTCCCGAATTCCCTATTCCTCAACACAGGCGGCGGCCGGTTCTTGGTCTGCGCAATATGGCCGCCACCGTTAGACACTACGGCCAATAGGGTTGAAGCGGCATTGCTCCCCTGTGGTTACGACCATACGACGTACGGGAATGAGTTATCAGCTGTCTAATCGTAGACAACACAATGTCGAGCCTTAAACTGTAAGCCCGTATTGGTATTGTTTCTTTTATTTGACTGTCGAACATTATTTATGGTTTGAAATATGATTTTATGTAAAATAATTGATATGAAAAAGCCGTCTTATAAGTTATGACCCCATTTCACCACACGCAAGTGGCAGAAATGACAATGATCAGCTGACGCATTTTTCTTGGCCGAAGTCAGAGCGCGCGGCCCGACGCACCACGCGTATTTGGAAATTCCGACCTCGACGAGCATCAGAAGCCACCTAACAGGCGTGTTCGAAACCGCAGGAGATGATGATGAACGGGTTTATCGAAACTTGATTGGATGAGCATATCGGTAATAGCGATTTCAGTGTGTGCATTTATTGTTCATAGTGGTGTGAAATGTGGTTGGGGTACGACCGACAACCCGTCGGGGCGAATTTCGCACTGGGGTACTCAAAATTTGAAGAATTTAAGACGTTTCCATGAGTTTTGAAGGTATGGATAAGTTCTAAAAATCCGGTTCTCCTTATCTGGGCCATTAACTCCATACGGTCCAAGAAAGCTGGCACACTACCATTAATCTCCGATTGTCTGCCGACAATTTCACGGCGCATCCGTCTCGCCCACCGTCCCGTCCATTTCGACACCGGTGCGCATCAAACGTCTCTGCTGCGCCGTAATCCGCTGAGAACTGGACCGCGGCGTGGGAGATCCCCCGCACCACAAGGCCGACTCCGTCCCACCCAGAGCCGCGCTCCCAGCCGTCAGCGCGGCCGGTGGAACATCCTCTGTGTCTCGGTTTGTTTTGGGGCGTGTTCAGAGAGCGAGGAGCGGTGATTAGGTCAGTTACGGTCAGTTCAGAGACAGGAGAGGAGGTGTGGAGATTCACACGGCGGGTCGGAGATGTTTTACGCCGCTTATAGCATGGTTGAGCTAGGAGAAATGGTTTGAACGTGACGGCTGGGAGAAATGATGACACGGATTACGGGTATTCAGATGGTCTCCGAGGCACGAGTCTGTCCTACCGGCTCTCACCTGAACAAAGAATCCTTGCAGCACTCGAACAGCGATGAAGATGATCAGGCGACGGACGAAGAACAGGCCGGCTCCCAGGATTAGTTGGACGTACAGACAGAGCAGCATCATGGGCTGCCGACCGAACCTGCACCCCGTTGGGAACGAGTCTCAGTCATGTTTCTGAAGCACGGATAGCGGCTATTGCTTCAATGCAAAGAAATTTCAACGTTCCGTGATTTTGTCATTCACCAATTTCTATCTGGCACTAAACAAAAATGACATTGATGCACGGTCAAATCTCAGTCAGTAACGGAAGCAAACGGACATGAGCTATTACTGGCGATGAAGCTAGCTCGGTAACTTATTCCCGCCTCTCACCTAGTCCTATCTGCTCGCTCGTCTCACCTGTCTGCTAGTGCTCCGAACACGAGTCCTCCGACCATGACGCCCACAAAATAGAGTGTCGTGATGATGGACACGAGGTACTTCCGGTCACACACCAGACCCCACTGCCGGAGAGAGGGGGAGGAACAGTTATAGACGCATGTATCTGACTCAGCAGGTGTGATCAAATAAACGGCGAATAGAGAAGATATCAAACTTTTTTCTTGGTTAGGCTCTGATTCCTCCAACAAATGCGTCAAGAACTCTGTGGCCTCTGTGATCTACGTTGAAACTAGAGCGACTGAAAACAATGGCCAACGGAATAAATGACTACAGAAAACAATCAGCCAGTTACGGTGAAGGTAATATCGTCTTCACGGAGACAGGTGTTCGGCGCGTGGCTGGACCGCTACATCCGGGATCCATCTGGTGTCGAATACGAGCGCAGTAAATTCTACATTCGGTAGGTCACATTGGACACCCGGCCTTGACGGCTTAGAGTCGAGGCTTCGAGTCCTGTTTCTCCCGTCTACGAGTCGTAGGCTGGCTGGGTGCCGTGCTGCTGTAAGACTGAGTCGAAGCAAGTCGATGTCCGACAGGCGACAATCATTCTGGCCATCACAGCTGGCAGTCGCCGCTATCGGGCTGAGATGCAACTGGTCAGTGCTGAATGACATTTAAAAATTTATAATGGCAACCGGGTATGCATATTCCTAAATGATTAAGTAGAGTGGATGGTTTTTTTTTACCAGTATGGTCATTTACATAGAGTGAAGGTTACGTAAATTAGCAGTCATGGATGACTTGCTGTGTAGCCACGACTCACGACTCAAGAGTACTAGCCGCTCAGGTAACGGCCTGACTCAAGTCACGGCCGGCTGACACACTATACGTCTGTCGCCATAGTCGCCGATCGTCGGCACCGTCTCGATTATCCAGTGGAGCGGGTCAGATACGTGTTCAGCGTGTGTGGACCGTGTTCAGGTCATGTGGACTGACCAAATTGGCTATTGCTGCTAGAGACCGTGGTGACGCTGGAAAAGAACGAGGGAAGCTGTCGGTGAGGGGGAGAGGAAGACTGTGCAATCGACAGAAGAAGAAAAGAGAGGGAGAGCGAGGAAGAGAGGGAGAGAGAGAGAGAGACAGAGAGAGAGACAGAGAGAGTGAGAGAGAGGAAGAGAGAGAGAGAGAGAGAGAGGGCAGGATCAGTGAAGGGTAAAATAGAGGGATGACCGCCGAGTGTCACTCTGCGCCAGTCACGAGAACCCGGTCACGTCTCCACTACAGCTACTGTCACGCAGAGCCATGTCGTGGACAGCAAGACATGAAATTCGGTCACTGGTAATTTAAATGAGTATTAATCGATATTACCTCGGCTGATTTTGTTCTTAAAAGAGTATGTACACACAAATGCAAATATGTTTGCCTCGGCTGTGGCCCGCGTGTAAAAGGACATTTTAAATCTATTCATGATCATTGTTTGTTCATCCAAACACTTTTGTCAAAAATATGACAGAATGGAGTCAAACTCAGGCTGACATTACCGAAAACATATAACCGTGTTAGTTCAGCAGGCGCCTGTTCCATATCAGGTGAATCACGACATGAAACGACGGCTGACGTTTGCAAGCGAATCAGCCTTTGTTTCTTTATTTCACCTCTGCACTCAGCAGCAGGTTCTGCCGACTGCTATCCTGCAGTAGTTTGGGCCCACATTCCCCACTGGGGCGTTCCGCTTATGTAATAATTCGACGTCACCACACCCTGATGTGAGCACGTCACCACGTCACCCCATCAGTGCGTCACTGTGACCCCCGGATCGGTGGCGGCGGAAACGGACGCAGTTGGATGCACTCTGGTATGGCAGGTATGTGGCGGGAGGAATGCTGACGTAGCGCGCCGCTCTGCAGGTATACCTACTGTGGATAGTCGGGTTGGTATAGGGTCGCGGATGGAGAGCTGGTATTGTCGGGGCAATAGCGGACAACGATATTTATGTAATAAACGAATAGTTTTTGTCCATTTTTTTCGCCTTAGTATAAAGTTATAAGGCTATGAGCGCGAGGCAATTATTAAATACTGTGAACGAAGTTGGCTTTTACATAGTTTGGCATTGATAATACACTGATACGCCGTTTAAAAATTCGATTTCAATTGAAAAGTAATTCATGCGTACATGTTTATACGAGAACATGTAAATGTGCGGCGTCAAGTAAATGTATATCTCGCAATGATTCAGTTTCTGTAAATGATCAAAGAAGGATCTGGAGCCGTATACGCACCGGCGCACCCGGCTGACCAATCATAACATTTATGTAAGGAAGCCAAGTGTCGCGCCGCCTCTATATATCGCCAGATCTCTGACTGGCCATAGACCGCGCTCTTTGTAGGGTGTGCTGATCAGCGACGCAAGCTTTAGCAGTCTTGCATGTCCTCCGAGCACTTAGTCGTTATTGATAAGGGTAGGTCGCTACTGCTAGGATGTCTGTAATATAATGTGTGCGATTAGCGCATGCGAAAATGTTTTTTATGTGTTGTGACACTTCGAATCATCTTTCAAATTCAATGGCTTTCAAGACCATAGAGACCGATAACATTTATATACACAAGAACCATTTGGATGACATAGTCATTGTTCATCTTTATGAAACCACGCGTTGAACTTTTAGGCTTTTAGGCCTATTTATTTGTGCGTGCCTACCTACATATGAATCTGTTAAGTATACACCCGAACACATTATAAGGGCAATCATTCACAGTTAATGTTCTGTAGATGGGCGTGTCCATGATGCCAGCTCACGGTAGAAAATTAACCCTTTCCTGATTCCAGCAAATGCCGTGCCACCCGCTGGCAACTTCCGTCAGAGTAGAACCATGGATGAGGTAGAACCATGATTTGGAATTCGTCACGGCCAATAGACGATGATTTACTCATTACTGGCAGCAGGCCAAAAACTGAATTCATCTAACCACCTACCACATTATGGTGAAAAATAATTATGTATCTTACCTCGGAGACCACGGTCCACTCGAGACCCTCGACGTGGAACTCGTAGCCGTAGATGCAGTCCTTGGTGCCCCAGCTGTGGTTGGCCGGGTCGACATACATGCTGCAGCTCTGGTATCGCGGGTCACCGATAGTCGGCGCCACCGTCGGCAGGCTCACATTCCGTGGCCACTGGTCTGGGAGCTGAAGACGATGACAAGCGGTAACACTACGGAATCCACTACTGCAGCAATCTACAGCTCAGAAAGTACAGAAAATGCCAACGATTTCAATGCATAATTGTAATGTGCGATTTATGTTTCAAAAACAAATAACCTACTGAAACGAGGCTAAACCTTTTATTTGGACATTTTTACAAGCTGAAAGGTTAACTATTTCCATTCAGTATTTACGGAACAATAACGTCGTTAATAATTCTAGAACCACTTCTCGCACAATACGATCCCTTCCTTATCACCTTTTGGTCACGAGCTCAATCCGAGGTCACCTGTTCCGTGACCGTCGGTCATGACCCCACTCTGGGTCATCTGACGACAGGTCAAGGGGTCACGCTGTGCGGTGACCGGGAGTCGCGCGCCGCGCGGTGCTCACGGTATAGCAGTAAATCACCTACCGGCTGTCGTCTCACGTACAGACGCCGCCATTACCGTAGCCGACAATAGCCCGTTGTGCTAGGTCAATCGCCGGAGCCAACCGGACCCAGAAATCTAATAAGCGTCGCCTCCTACTTGTGGCCCGCCCTTTCTGAGAGAATGGTAGGAGAGCCGCACAGGCGGATGGCTACGTGAGGTTTTTGTGCCACCCGGTAGTTGAAAGTTCCTGACTTTATGCTCGTTATTGACGCTACTTTTATGGTTTTCATTGTGAGGGAATGGGCAGTGGCTTGCCGGCGTATTCGGTCGGTAGAAACCATCAGTTAGTACCAACGACGTGCTTGTTACAGCCAAGTATGATGGAAAGTTGTATGGTGAGATACTGTAGATCTAAATTCTTCTACGGCATGTTCCTGGTTGTAAGGTTTGATCCACTTTGATCCACTATTCATTTGATAACGAGGCGGAGCAATTTAATTTCGATACAATAAATCAGTTAAGAGCAATAAAATGACGCAGATAAAAACAAGAAATACTGACGCTTTTGAACCGGACGCAAGTACGGTCGGCTCACGAAACTTACGAACCGGACGCAAGTACGGTCGGGTCCGTGGTGTTATTTGCAACAAGCACTGCTTAGCGGGGCACCCGGACTCACAACCACCCAGGCACCCACTCATCTATTCGGACAGTCTGTAAAAAACTCACCGACCTCCGTATAACGCCCCGCAGACACTCACCCTGCAGTTGTGCTCGGGCGCGAAGCCGTGGAACGCCATCAGCAGGTGGTTCACTGAGACTGGCACGTAGTTGAAGCATAGCAGCACCATCACTAGCACCTGGTACCGGCCGGGGTCGCCCAGCGCGCGCACCAGGCCCTCCACACTCTCCGCCGGGGTTGTCGACATGGTGCCGGGAGTGTCCGATCGCTACTGTTAGCTCAGCACAGCTGTCTGACAGCAGCCGCCGCGCAGCCGGCCCGGCCCGGACCGGGCCACTGGGTGACACCGGAGCGGGTTTGATCGATGAATCGAGCGCTCTGGTGACCGACTGTCAGAGCCTGAGCTCAGCAGAAGGGGTGCATCACAGAAATGTGAGCTGTCGCTTCCGAAAGCTCCGCAGGGCACGGTTGATGCACTTATCACTATGTTCTCACCACTTGGAAGGTGGAGGGTGCCTTTGATGTCGGCGCACAAGTCAAAGCACGGGAATAGTTTTTAAATCACCAATCGTCGCACTGCCATGCTTTCTTGTTCGCTGGAAAGCGGTCTTTGACGTCGACACACGACTTCACCTCTCCGTTTCCGCTTCTATCTCGATATCACACTCTCATCTCGAGCCGTTCCGCCTGGTGTCGCTCCGTCGCTCACTTCCTTTCACCAGTCTCCAGCGGACGGGACTGACGTCTCGTGCACCGGGCTGTGCCGCCCCCTGGCTGGTGCGGAGAGGTCTCCGTCCCTCCTGCCGAGAGGGGGAGGTGTTAGTGTAAATATAGACGCGTCGGCCGCGGGAGGGCCACGCCCCCACGCGTGCTCACGTGGCTGTCATCGCTGGTGCCAAATGACAACCGTGGGGGACATCAGTGAGCTGCATTGGGCAATGCAGGAGATCGGAAACAGTAATTAGCTTGTTTTTTATCGGGATTGATCGGTCAAAGTTGGGCAGCTTTTCACCTCTCCCTAACACTTAGGCACCATCTGGTCCCTGGCTAATCTCAGGGAAACATTAGGGATGCCCTTTTGAATGCCAATAAGTTTTGATGTCGTGCGGGCAGTTGCTATAAGCATTATCATTGCACGGTTCCCTTTGAGCCTCGTATTTTAGTACGCTTCTAACGCCATTATTCCTTCCTAAGTTCCCCAGGCTAGAAGGCAACCTTACTCGAGCGAAAGTGATCAGTGACCGCACATTACCGATGATTGATAACACACCAGTCTCTCCTCATTCTCTCCACTACTATAGCGTCCATGATGAGGTATGACCCTCAGTAATTCACCGATCGTGACCCTGGCGGACACCCATGGAGTCGTCCGTCCATCAGCGCTACCCTGATCGGGGTGTATGACCTGACCGTACAGCCGGCCCCGGGTCTAACGAGGCCGTCATGTAGACGGGTGTGGAGTCACGAGTGTAGGGTCGGCCACTGTGACCGGTGGCATATCGCTGAACCAGCGAATCGTGGAGAGCCGCTCAAATGGCGTGGAAGGTTGAACGCCCGAGAAAACGTAAACACGACATGGAAACACCCTATCGATGTAGTGACGTTGTTGTAGGTTTTTATTTATCTATTGATTTACAGGGTGTTTAAAAAAACGAGACGATAAAGAATCGTTATATCTCGGAAAGTAGGTATTTACGAGCTAGGAGAATTACTAATATGTCATTCAAAAGAGAATTGTTGAAAATAAATTATGGTACGTCGGTTTTTATTGTCCGGCACGAATTATGACCATGCCACTTGCAAACATCTCGTGCCCAAAAAAGATTATTTTTACAAAGTTGGCAAACCCTTGACGATGTGGGCTTTTAATAAAATGTTTTCTGGAAAAGTCTTTTTACGAGAATGGGAGATTTATATCGATCAAACCGGTGGCAGCATTGAACCTTTTGCTCATCTGTGAACTGATTCATAACGCCGAATGACTCCGGATGAAGAGATCAAGTTTGTCAGCTTAAAAATAACCTTTTTTGGGCACGAGATGGCATGGTCGTAATTCTTGCCGGACAATAAAAACCGACGTACCATAAAAAACATTCAGCAATTCTCTTTTGAATGACATGTTAATCATTTTCCTAGCATAATTACTTTCGAAATATAACGATTCCTTATCGTCTCGTTTTTCGAGACGCCCTGTATTTATTCATTCATTGATTTATTTATCTATTTTTGCTTTATTCCCATTGGCACGTTGCATGCTATTCAGCTGCAATACCCATAGCAGATAGAGATACCAGCCTTTTCCTTGTAAATATGTTATGTCAGAAGAAATCAGTCTCGACTCTCGATCGGTCTGGCGCAATTTTCAATGTAGTTCACTTCTCACAGCGCCATACTCCTGAGTGATCGTCACCATTGACTGTCATAGGAAGCCGACAGTGCCTGACCTGAGTGTCTGGCGGGCGGTCCGCCGGCGGCACTTCAGATGGCGGCACTTTCACAGTATACTCCGACTGGTCTGAGCCGCGACCGCAGCCGGCCAGCCAGAGCAGCGTTTCCCCGGAATTAATGGAGCCAGTATCGGGGCCGATCACTCTGCTTCCGGTAC